TCGATAAGAATCTACTTATCAGCGGATCTCGAGAGTGCTCTAAATGTTGAAACGAAAGCTTCGGTCACACCGACTGTCGTTATTATTTCGATTTTCGCGTTCAATGAGCGATCGATTAGTTTGGAGCAGTATTATCCGACTGCTTGATGCGATTGTGTATAACCTTTTGCATTACCGTACAAATTTATCGCTGACTAATTGATTAGTGATTTTGCAATATCATTTTTAAAACAGTCTGATACGGATTTATGGTTATGGTCGAATGCCAAATCAACCATTGTATGTTGAGTGTTCTTTTTATTCATATTAAAGCTTTTAATTCTAGATAAATTATAAATTAAACTTTATAGAGATACAAATAAGACATAAATAAATACTTATAATATGAAATAGATGATCTATAAAATAGCTGTAATATAAATACTATTTTTATATAGCGTTTTGTTAAATTTAAGAATCTGAATATTTTTAAAGCTTATTTTGCTATTTAAGTTATTATATTTTGTACTCAATTCGTCATAATGATAACACAAGGATTTTATTAATATGATAACATAATTTATTTTTACTAATTATTTACAGAAATCGTTTTGTAAATTATGAAGTGGGTATAAAATACTTATTCCAATACCTCCCTTTATTTGAATTTCGTAATTCACAATTCCACAATAATATACGTTTGTAATCCATTTCTCTCTTAGAATATTCTTTTATGTTTTTGTTCTTTTACTGTATTTTTCAATTTCTCTATGCAATTGTTTATTTCGGTAATTATTGAATCAGTTGTTAAATTTGGATCTTGCATTGATAATTTTTCCCGACTGTTTTTTGAGGTAGTTTTATTTTATTTTATTAAAATTAATGCAATCGCAGTAAATATTTTCTTTTTCTACACCAGTGTTATTTTTTTCTTAGCTAATTAATAATGGATAGTGATCAGTGATAACATTTGTTAATACATCTGATTTAAAGAAAATATTATCAAATTAAAAATTTAATGTTTAATCAATAAATGGTCGTGTTATATCCTTGAAATATTATTGAAAACCACTCAAAGAAAGTTATGCAATTCTATCACAGTTCGAAAAAAGCAAGTCTTTTCAATTGAAGTAGTAATTCATAAAATATCTCAATGTTCTGCATCAAAGAAAAGAATTTCAAAATTACGAACATCATTCCTTCTCTAAACCGAGTAACACGAACAGTCAACGCTTGATAACGAAATCTGAGATATCCGAGTCGGGAAGGTCGATGTTGCTGGCCGAAACTGGCCACACCGATGACCTCCTTCATCCTAGTTTGGGAAAGTTCTCGGCCTTGTCGTCACGCGTCCCCGAGTACTGATTTAATTCGAGGGTCCTTTCCAGCATATATACACTGTATAAACCTCCCTTGGGAACAATCGTTGGCATACCAAGCTTTGCAACATGCTTGTATTGTGCAACTTATGCTTCAAAGTGCTTCATGAGAAACATGCTAAGTGCACTGTAAGGATCTTATCACCGATGACAAGTGATACAACTTCTTGTTGATACACATTCTTGAAAGAAAATCAACTTTTTTTTAAGACGAATAAATGATTTTGATATATAAATAAATTATATTTAATAAATCTTGTTTTATGTATGAACAAATAATGATTACACGGTTGATTTATCGAAATATTCATTGATGTTCAATAACCTCGATATGTATTTTGGATGTGCGTAAATTAAACATCGCATGCTAGTGTAAATTACCATACTATGGCCTTGTACTTTGTAAATTCTCAAAGAAAATCTCTGCATAAAAAATCGTAAATACTTTTCACGAAATCGACTAGCTTGCCTAGCCTAATTGATATGCCCTCAAATATGTCTGGCTATACTTGAGCTCTATCACTAGACACTTGAGCTTACCAATCAACGTAAAATGTCTCAATCAAATACGGGAATGAAAAAAAGCCACTGTTTGACATATCTCATCAGAAACGATGGTGCAACTTTAACATAGTGCAAGACATTCTTAGATTACAGCATATCATACTATCAAATAACTTGCATAAATTTAATGCGGAGAGAGGTATAAATTCGTTGACTTTGCGATCGAATAATAAAATTTGTAGTAGCGATCACACTAGAACGAAAAAGTTGGCAAATCTTTAGCGTTACATCCTGAGACGTAATTAATGCTTCTTTTCATTAATGAGATAACGATTTTGCAATTAATCTAACTCAGCACAAATTTTGTAGGTCGAAAAATCCAGACGCTATAGACGACACCTCCACTTTTCGGCAGTTGACCGCGATACTGCGATAGTAAACAAGTGAAGAATGAAAGGTTAATCAAAGCGAGAAATTAAATAAAATACAAATCTTGATTACCGGGTCGGAATTTAACATTAGTATCAATCACGTCAAATTTTTTCTTTGCTATTCGACGTTGGCAAAAATGTTCGTTCTTTGTCTGCTGCGTAAATGTACGAGAGAGATTTCATACGATTCTCTAATGTGAAGTTTCCCAGTGTAGAATTGTTCCTATTGAAAAGCTGAATCATCGGCGTTGAAGCTTGCATTTCTCTCTTATGCTTTTGCCCTCGTTCAAACGTATTTACTTGCTTTTACCTTTTCTTCTTACCGTCGGAACAATACTACGTATTTGAAAGTTCTTGGCGTAAGAGTGTTGCAAAAAGCTAAGACAGCATCTTCGTTAGCCGTTACCTTGGATTTTCCGGATGTCGAAACAATCAAGTAAAACAAGAACCATTCTACGCTCTTTGTCGAGACCATAATATCGCAGAACAATTATACAGCTCGAAGTACAGAGGCACTAATGGATCAAAGGGATCATCTTCCTTTATGGTATCGATCCACTGCACGCCAACAAAACTTATTAAACGTCACTCAATAACAAGGAGGAAGCCGATAATGCTCCGAAATCCTTAATCAAAACCGTAAGTGGAAGTATCGAGTATCGGCCACAAAAGGCTGCTGGTAAAATTTCAAGTTTAATAAAACAACCTTTTAAAGTGAGGCATAGCACGGCCGGGACTTTGTGTATTGAAATGCAGTGTCTCGCTCCCGTACAGAGGGAGAGAGAAAATGAACGTCGCCGACATAGCAGCAGCAGCAGCAGCAGCAGCAGCAGCAGCTCTTCATCGCAGCTGTCTACCTCCGCGAAATAACTCTCGCACCCGTCACACGGCCCTTGCATAACGTTGGCCCTACACTGTTTTGTTCAGTCAAATGAATGAACGCGCCCCGTCAAAATCCAAGCGCAAATGGAATCACGTTTCAAGCAAGCTCGTTTTTTATCTCTCTCTCTCTTTTTCTCTCGCTCTTGTTCTTGTCCCACGGTGGTGAACACGAGGCGCGACGAGTATACTCCATTTTTTAATGTTTACTTTTTCCCGCCACATATCATTTTTGCTTTGACATTATTGCCGTGTTTGTCGAGCGACAAAGAAATATCAGCCATTTGATAAGTTTGAATGGAGTGTAGCTCGCTTTCAAAACATTGCTGCGGCTCTTTTGTTCTTGCAAATTCGAAGTTTGATTTTTTACACGAACGCTGTAGTGTTTTAATTAATAAACGCATTCCCCATCCGACAGGCCAGAAACCTTGTTGTCGTTTCATGGCATAATTACCATTTCACTCAAAACGATCCACGAACATAAATATCGTTTAAAAAAAAAAACAAAATTGTCAAAGTGCTCCAACACACTCGCATCGAAAGGAGAGCCTCGTTCGCTATTATTGCTCATTTGGCCGTGCAGAAGGTAGTTTGATTTGCATTACATGCGCATAATCCAATTTTTCATCGTTCATACAGGGAATTTAATGCGCTCGCAAACTTTTCGGGTCGTTAATTCAAATTGGCAAACAGACAACAACTCTCTCTCTCTCTCGTTATTTAATGAATTCTCTTTGAGCAAATAAGCCCGAGAGAGCGCTACGCGCAGCTGACAAAAATTAAATTTTAAAATCGCCAACCTCTTTATAATGTAGATCGACCTGTCTTTCATACTCATAAATATTCAATGGGCAACGATAATTCGAGTGCCTCCGTCTAATTTGATATTATAATACCGGAATAGGTTTTCAGCCTGTCACATTAATTACTATACAATGTTGGAAAATATATTCGTTTTTCTAGAGCCATGCCGCGGATTAAAATTTAATTTCTTTTTTCTCCCTTAGTTGACGCGGTGGCAGCGACACTCTCCGACGTGCCACCACGTCTGAACTGGATACTCGTTCGCCGTCCGTATCGCGTCACAGTGTTGGAGAGGCATTGTCGACTTGACGCGCTTTCCATAGTCCGTATTATAAAAATGAACGCGCAGGTAAACGAAAGTTTACGATTGCTGTTCCGTCGTCTGTAGCTCATTTGGTTCTCCGCATTCCACGCAATCATTAAAATACTCAGAAATTTTCATTGCGTTCGCAGATGCCAGAACCAGTTAGAGGCGCAGAATAAAGCACAATTGAATTACTCGAATTTGGATCAGGTTATTTAAATTTGGAACAGTCAGATCGCATTTCAAACGACTGTATTTATAAGCTCGTGCTCAATGTAATTCATACAGCAAAAAGTAATAGTAATAATGAGAAGTAGGACTGTCGTACATTCTGAAGGCTGTTATCTAGAAACATTCTTCGCCAAGAAAACTGCGTGAAAACCAAACGATACATAACGGTAAGAGCACTATACAAGCGCCATTGAAGAGTGAGCACCGCCCCGCCGAAAAATCCGCCCCCATAAAATTCAACCCTCCGCATCTCTCTTTGGCAGCTGGCGTGCACATAACGATACGAATGCGAAAAAAAACGTAGAAAATGGAGAAAGAGCTCGCGCGCGCGCGCGAGAGAAAGAGAGAGAGAGAGAGAGAGACAGCATCGGCAAGGGGGGCGGGAGGTTCGGTATACGAGAGAGAGAAACACGTGTCGCGCGTGCGCTCGAGGGCGCCGAGTTTGTTATACAGTTGAAGAAGAGGCAGCGGTAGCAGCAGAGGGCATAGCAGCACGTGGAAAATCGGGTGGCGCGCCGCTCGCGTTGCGCAGCCCGGCGGCTAGTCGCACGCTGGCCGCTGCCACGGGAGGTCTGCCGTTGCTGCCACCGCTGCTCTGCCAACGTCTCTGCCGCTCCGTCGCGCGTTCGCTTCTTCATCCCCCTTATATCGCATCCAATCTCTCTCTCTCTCTCTCTCTCTCTCTCTCTCTCTCTCTCCTCTATCTATCTCCTTCTCTCTATGTCTCTATCTCCCGAGGCAGCATTCAAAGGTTATGTCACAACCGACTATCGCCGACGACCTAGCCGCTAAATTCAAACACGCACAGACAAGCCGAGCGTACCTGGTAAGTGCACACATCACTGTATTTTATTAACGAGGGGTTGCGAATGAACATTCAAGGTCATTTGAGAATTAGCAGCCAGAGCGGGAGCGATAAAGGCAAGTCGGTATAAATAAGCCGCTGCAAAGTAGAGTGGGAGGAGGAGTAGCTCGAGTAGGTCGTAAATCACGAGCTGAAGGAGACAATGAGAGAAATGCCCCTATGATCCTCTCTTCTCCTCCTTCTACTTCTTCTTCTTCTTCTTCGTCCCGACACTCGGAGGCTCTCGCAATCAATACTTTTCGCGCGCGCTTGTTATGCGGACGCGGGGCGCTCTATCGCATTAGAAATCGATTACCGCGGGGAGCGACTTTTACGCTCACGCGCATCCCCGATGGGATGCGTTATGAAGTCGCCGCGCGGTCTCGCGCGTTGGGGCGATTTATATAGGCGAAGAGCGGCGCGCTCCGACCGTGGACGCTACTCTTCTACTGATCTCCCGTGTAAGTGTACGTCGATCCGCTGATACATTGCTACGCGCCCCTTTATTTCTATTGTATTGTTCCCTCCTCTCGAATGTGATTGCACGGCGGTTGTGTTTCATGTTCTCTCGGAGTTCTATAATTTTGCAATAATCAAATTACATTACTGGTTTATTGCTTACATTGCGGATATGCGTGCTATTGAAGCCATAATTATGCGTGATTCGTAAGGTAGTGTACATTTCGCTACATAATTAATAATCTATTGTATCAAATATGATTTATCCAGATTCATCGCGTTACGAAGCTGACTAAGTGTAATTTATTGTCCGTCGAGAGACAATTGTACGCAATTTATACACCTCGCAAACAGCCAATGGAGCTCTCAGTCGCGTTGAAACCAAGAAAAACGTCAACCGTTTGATGGATCCGCGTGCCACGCAATGTCTTTTCTGCCGGTAAACTCGATGCAATTTCAACTTTGCGGCAGCACGTGACGCGGCGCAATCGTGAAAAGGGTACTTAAAGCATCATGCAATTTGAATTCACTGCCAATGAGCCATGAATATCTCGCGCTGGTCGACCCCCCTCGCCTCCCTACCTCTTCGCGCCGCTAATTAATCTTCCCTTGGTAACTAAAGCGCAGTATAAATCTCTCGCGAACGACCGCAAAAAGGCGCTTTTCAAGACAAAGCGGCAAACAAAAAATGAAAAAAAAACGCGGAGGGGGCAGGAAGCAGCTTCGGAAAGAACACGCCGACGACTAATGGCGAATCGTCTCGCGTACGAAGAGGAGAGAGAGCGACGCGATCGTTCGAAAAAATTCGCTACATTGTTGGCCGCACGGCCGAAAAAAAGAGACCAGCTTAATTGACGCTCTTTCGCGACTCGCCTTTTCATCGCGCGCGACGCGACGTTCCGTTAGTTTTCTCTCTCTCTCTCTCTCTCTCTTTTTCTTGTTTCATTTTGTTTCCATCGCGTCGTTTCAAAACGAAATCCTCAACAATACGGTCGCTGCTAGCGAGCCTTAAAGCGTGGAATTGTTTCAACGCTCGGTCTCTCCAAGCGACACTCCTTTCTATCCGACGCGGAGCTTGTATGACGCCAGTGATTAAATTTTGAGTGTCGAGTTGAAGCGTTCGTCGGTAACATCGTTTCTCTAATTGCTTCTTTAATAAAAAAAAAAAAAAAAAAAAAAAAAGATAGGGGGGGAGAGCTTTATAATTTAGCAGAAAGCTCAACTTGGCGCGGTTTCAATTTAGCGAAGTAGCTTTCAGCGAGGAACTACACGTATGAATTTACCAGAACATCATATACCACAACATGCGCGTACTTTTAATTAAGCAGTTTACCAGCCTCGAAATTTTCGTACGAGTAACAGCAACAAGCGTGATGCGCTCGAATCTCTCGAGAACGCAAACTTTCTATATGCGCTTGCTCGAGGGTAACAACCTAACAGCAGCCGCGAGAAAATAAAGCGCAAAGCCAATCGCATTTAAATAGGCGATGTCCTCGACGACCGTAGAATACGCGTTAATTCTCGAACAATAAGTCGCCATCTCGAGCTTGGGTAACGAGCTCCCTGGCTCCCATTGGAAAATCCCCTTTGGAAAGTTGCAGACGGCAGTCTTCCATTCGCCGGCTCTTCGTTCGCTTTCTCTCCCATCTCGCGACTGGACTTTTAATTAGCCTCCTCTCCCATAGCCGTCCAATTGAACCCATGGTAATCGTCAACTTAAGGGAAAGAAAACCTCCCGGAACTTTTGTGCTTGCAGATTGATGTTGCTACAGCGAGCGTAGCGTAAAGCGGCCTAGAGAGTTGGCGGTGTGGGGGTCGCACTTCCATAGTCGAGATGAGCTATGAAGGGGAAGCAGCCGGGCTTACTTCTCGCCGTAGTGCTGCTGCTGCTACCGCTACTCCAGCTGACCAGCGGCCCAGTTCACGCTCTACCTCCGCTCATCAAAATTGGTATGTCTCCTCTCTCTCTCTCTCTCTCTCTCTCTCTCTCTCTCTCTCTCTCTCTCTCTGCTATGGCTTTAATCGACTACCCTCCCTAGTCTTCTGCACAGTTGCATGCTCTTACGCCGGCGCTATCTGCATGGTAATTCATTAATTGATTGCCCAGCGCACCAGCGATATTGTTCAAGAATATTGTGTGTCATCAGCAATTCAACTTGATTAAATTTTCAAGTTTTCCTCATTAGTGCATTTATAACTTGTGCGCTATCGAAAATAAACATGACGACGGAAGCGCGGTGCAAACAAAACGATATGCCAACACGCTCTTCTCAAAATAGTAGCCCACCACCTTATTAATGAGCTCGTATCTTCGTAATGGCGTTTCATATTTTAGAAAATTCCTAGGCAGAGATATTTTAAAATATTTAACGATAGATTTCTTATAGATTCCTTCGCTTTGTTTTTAACTCGTGTAACTTTTAATGAAATATAGCGTCAACATGTAGTTTACAATAGGTAGATTTGTGTAAGCTACAGATAACGTGAACGCACACATCTTTTATATATATATATATATATATATATATATATATATATATATATATATATATATATAAGCGACCCTTTTCATTGAAACAAAATACACCCTGCCAAGCAACTTCGATCAGTTGACATATCAACTCAAGGGCGAGTTGAAACCCCATCTGTACGAACACCGAATGATCGAAACTGATTGTTTTGACTGTGTCTCTCGTCTTTATTATCCATCACGCGCAGTATCTATATCTGTGCCTATATATGTATATAAAAACTATTTTTGTATGGCTATATAACCAAGCGATTCGCGATATCGCGATATCCACGACAAAAAAAGGAGAAAGAAAAAATAGCAAACTTCCGAAAACTGGAAGCGAGATGGCTTTCGAAACATCGTCAACGAACGAATCTCCACGCTTGAACACGTATAATCTTGAGGGTTGTAGTGACTAAATCCCTTGAAATAAATGCCAAGGTGCAGCTCAGTCGTGAGGCGAAGAGTTAAGCTGGCAATATAATCTAGCCCCGATCCCCTGCAATTGACAAGTTTCAAAGTTTTCGCGGGACAAGAGCCAGGGAAGGTGATGCGTCGCCCGTAATTGTGCTCGATGCTAAAGAGAGGAAAGGCGCAAGGGCGTGATCGGATGGTTGCGGTATATCGACGCGCGCGCGACACTAATCTGCAGCCGCTGCTCGCGCCGGGGGATGTTCGGCATGCCAAGGAGTCGCCGCCATCCGCTTCCGCGCATTCCATTTCCGCGCCCGATGGACCTGCCGCCCGGCTGTCCAAGAATTCGCGTCGAGGTTATATTGCCGTCCGGTCGATTCCCAAAACGCGCCTGGCGACGCGCGCAATTAGCGCGGGGCAATTATTAGCGAAGCGGGAGGGAGCGAGGCAGAATATTTCAAGCGGCCAAACACTCCGGATTGAATGTCAAACGCGCGCTGCCTTGACAAACTTGCGTGCACTTATCAAAGGCGTGTAATTGATAATTGCCGGTGGGTCGCTCGGTTGCGGGTAGTTTTTGCGGCTTCCGAAATATACACGCTCGCGTACGCGTGTATCCTTGCGTGTAACTCGCTGCTTTTACGGCTTTTTGGTTTTCTCGCGCAGTGAACCGAAGCACGAAAAAATTAACGCGCACGGGAGTGCAGCTTTCCGTAATTGCGAGGTATCGAGCTCTCGAGTTTCATGAAAAAGCGTTTCGGTTTTAACAACAACTGTTGTAACTGTTGACCCGATAAGCGACAGTCACTCCAACGGCTACCTAATTGTAAAGTAAATCTACGCGATAGCAATTGGCAGTTTGTAAAATGCTAATCACGGTGTCGCAATGGAGGTGAACTGGAGAAAATGTGAATATTAATATTCGACAGAAAGCACATTACAGTGCATTTGATTATAATATATCATTTAATAGCCCGCTGATATCGTAATCTTACGTATTGGCTTACGGACCCATCAGAAGAATTTTCCATCCATCGGAAAGACTGCGCACTCGGCAAGGCTTTGCGGGAAAAAAGGAAAACATTCGATTTCGCGTTCCACAACAAGTTCAACAGAACCGAGGAAAACGCCTCGCGAATGCACCTACATACGCGCGCGCATACTCAGCAATAAGGTTACAGTTTTCGGGCTCACAGACCAAAATATTCTTTTGTGCGTAAGCAAAAAAGACTGGCACAGTTATTCAGTCGGCCGAGAGTTCAGCGAACCGCTTTCTCCATCTCTTGCTCGCTCGCTCGCTCGCGTCCGCATCGAACGCAAGAAAGTTTAGCTAACTCGGCAGAGAGTCCCGGCGCTCGTCGGACTCACTCGGCAGTTTAGAGTGTCGGCGTTGTCGTCTTCGTCTCCCTCTCCGGCCATTTCTTCCCCATCTCCGCGAGAAGAAGCGCGGAAAAGAAGCGGATAAACAATCGCCGGCGCAGCCGCTAAATCATCATAATTTTCTCTGCCGACCGCAGCACGCGTACGCGTTGTTGCGCAATACGCGGTGGCGGTGGCGGCGGCGGCGGCGGCAGGGGGTTACATAAAATTGATATATGCGTGAGGCGCTCGGGCGCGTAACACAAAGCGCGACGAGCTCCGGTACGATTTCCAATAAGGCGCAGCAGCTAGTCCGCGGATATGCATTACAAATTTTAATTGTGATTTCTTAGCCCTCGAGATCGGATATAATTGACTTCTCGCGGCGATAAATTTCGCAGATATTTGCGGCAGCGAAATAGCGCGTAACGAATTTCATCTGTTTCCTTCTTTTCTGCTGATTGCAGCACGAGGATTGTGACGTATCGCTTACTGACGTTATTCGGCGGCATTTATTGCCGAATGCTAATGAAGCATTTGACGCGCCATTTATCATAGGATCGCGGCGCGCCCAATCGTTATTGAATAATTTCAATGATTGCGGCTGCTCGACTTTCAAATGTTATTGCTTGTATGCATATTTATCGAAACGCGTTCGAATAAATGTAGATTTTTCATCGAATCAATATCAAGCGATATTTATATGTCTGCGCAAACCATATCGATATAAACATCCGTTGTGATTTTTCTCGCGCTAGATACTCTTGTGTTCCTATCTCTCTATCTCTCTCACTCACTCCCTATCTCTGAACTTTATTTGACGCAGTGACAATATAGTATTCATCGTATATAAAAATAGGCTTTGCACAGGGGATTTCTCGAGTTTTCGCAAATATTTTATAAATCCCGGGAGAACTCCGCAATGAAAACGAATTAATAAAAATATCGAAAAAAAAAAGAAACGAGAGAGAGAGAAAGAGAGAGATTTTAACGGGAGCGTTCAATGAGCAATAAATATTCCTTGGAGTCGAGAAAGGTGAAATGAATGGAACCTTTTATTTAGCGAGGCTACGCTAATAAAGCGTGATGCCAAAGTTGCGGCCATCAATAATCGCGGCAAAGACTCTATAAATCTCGATTCAAAACTCGATCCCCCGCAAACCTAGAACTTTATCGGCATTCTTGCCACCTACTCGTCCCTTTTTCTCTTGCTCCCCAATCGACGACTACGTAATTATTACTAATTAATTTTGATCGACGTTCGTATTTTTGCATGCTGTCGGTTTTTATCGGAGAGAATACAACAACGCCAGAATTCCGGCGTCCCGGAAATTCTCCCGTTCTGGTTAGATCTGCATAAGTTTTCCCCCCTTTCTCTCTCTCTCTCTCTCTCTCTCTCTCTCTCTCTCTCGGCATCCACTTAGAGTCGACTGTTGCTTTCCTCTCTCCTTCCAGACGCACGCGCGCGCTTCCCTTCTTTGTTCGCGCGGACTTCTTTTATCTCTTCACTTCCACTACTTTTCTACGGCCATTTTTTCTTGCTCTCTTTCTCTCTCTCTCTCTCTCTCTCTCTCTCTCTCTCTCTCTCTCTCTCTCTCTCTCGTCGCACACCACCATCCAGTCGTAAGCCAGACCTGCCTTTTCTATATCCTAGCCGAACTTTCTCTCTGCATTTCCCTCCTACCACCCCATTACTTTTCTCCTTATCTCTGGTGCTTCGCTTGCTCGTCGTATTTTTCATCCCAAGCCACGCCGAACTAGACGCAAGCCACTTGTAATCGTTTTCCTCCCTCTCTTTCTCTCTCCCTGTCCCTTTCTCTCTATCCCTATTAATGAAATATTGTTTTTCAATTTTTCCATTCTTCCATCCAAACGTCTGTTCGGAAATGTGTACTCTATCCACGAACTTCGAGGGTACTACTCTTTTCCTCTCTCCCTTCAGAAATTCACTTTAAAAAATTGCTTACACGATGACTACTCTTTACTAATGAAGTTCACTTGCACGTATATGACATGATCGATCATTTCTAGTGGCAAGGGGCATAAAGGGGCATACAGACTGTATCTCCAGAGAATACGTTGTTTTACCTGGTGAAATCTTATTTGCTCTAATTTTAGCAGGAGCACTACTTTCACAATATACATTTTTATTGGGTGTTGTTGGGGGAAATTGAAATCCGTCATAATTATAGTGAAGGTTAATAAATTGCATCTTCGGTTGTAGAAAATACAGATTGAAATTGTAAAGGCTTATAGCTTGGAGCCAAGCCCAAGCTGTTCGATCTACCGAGTTACTGGAGCTTAACGAGCTATTTAGAACACGCCGAGCTTCTGAACTTTCAGTATGTGCTGAGTCTTCGAACCTTTTCAATGTGTCAACATTTTAATTGACTCTTAAACCTACTTCAGCTTCGTAAAAATCAATAAAAGGCACAGCTTCCTAAAATTTAATAGGATGTTCATGTGACATTTTTTAAAAGTTATATACATTCTTTTTATAGATTTTTATTGAAATTGTTCAAAAGTTTGCAGCACTCACTACTTCAACTTTTATACAAGTTTGATAAACGTTCTCTACTATTCCTCTACTATTATATTATCATGACCGCAATGCATTATCTTTTATTTGCTTTAATTTTATGGCTAGAATTTGGCAAAGACTAGC